GTAACCTCACTTTTCTATATTCCTGATGATGATAAGAGATTCTTATCGAAAGCTCGAATAAAATTATGATTTTTGCTTAAATCTATCATGTTCTTCGTGGCAGTTTTATACTCAATAATTTATAAAAAAGATGGCATGCATTTATCGTCCTATCGAAAAAGCTTCAACGAACCTTTGTAAATTGAGAAGCATTTGTCATTTAAAATTCAGCTGTAAACCTTTTAGTTTTATCACTGAAATATCTCGAACATAATAATAACTTTATTCTTAAATAAAAAACAACAAACCACGTTCGAAATCGAAATCTGAAACTACATCAAAGCATGTATTACTTAACAATTCTCTAGTCAAACGATATACTTCTAAAAAGTTTGAGCAAGGATCTCTCTAGCAGGCGAACGAAAGGATCTTTCAGCGAACGAGAAACATTTGCATTTTTATGAAATAGGCTAAGGGTGCCCCTTCCCTCCTCTTTTTTGACCCTATTGAAAACCAAGGAAGCCGATGTTTGATCGGAGTGAAATTTATACGAGAGATAGAACATCGACAAGGAAAATCGATATATTCGTGCCCAGAATTTTCTACATGTTCTTCCATGGGTTTTCTGGAAAACTTCAGTTGTGATCAGCACATACTACGATCTCTCAAAAAACTGGTCCGCTCAAGGTGGAAATTTTACCACAGACACTTTATACCTATGAAGAACATGTCAGAAACTTCTGGGCAAAAATATATCGATTTTCTTTTTCGTATCTCTGGTATAAATTTTACTCCCATTAAAGATCGACTTCCCTGGTTTTCAAGAGGCCCAAAAAAGAGGGGAATGGGTACGCTTAACTAAGTATTGGATAGTTATATTCACCACAAAAAAGAAAAGAGTTTCTAAAAAGAAGAGTCCAATGTTAACATACTAAAACGATATACTGTATCTAGATGTTTAGTTTTTTCGTTCAAGTATGCAAACGAAAAAATGATGCAAACTATAAATCATAATAGTATCTCTTAATGATGAGATGAGTCATTAAAACAAAGAGTCTTATTTGTTCTCTTTTATAACAAGAATTAGTAGAATGCAGTAGTAGAATTAGTAGAACAGTCAGTTTCATCCCATCACACACGTTGAATGAAGTCATTTATTTAAAGCAAATGAGTTGTGCAATTTTCAATATATGTTGAAACCAGGTATTTCAGGAAAACTCTCGAATATCAGCTTTTACATCAACACTTCGTTTTACGAAGTGAAGCAAATAATAATGAAAAATAGGAGACATTGCATATATGCCAACGATACAAATAGTCTTTTAGCTCAACCTTCAGATGTTAGTTTCATTAAAATGACAAAGACATTATCTTCTTTATCTGTTGTAATTATTTCTGATGACATCACATCTTCCTTTTAATATTACCATTCGTCTTCTACTTATCATTTTCATTTTGAACAAGGCTTGTGACCAAGAATGAAACATCTCAAGGTTCTACACACCATGGTATTAACAAGAAACGGAGATTCTAATAATGATGAGTTTGTAGATAATAAAAGAGAAAATGAAAGAAGTACTGTATAATGCATAAAATGCAAGCTTATGTCCACTGTTCATTAACATTCTTCATTTATAGATTAACATCTAAAACATGATGTTGGATACCTTGGGGAAAGTGCTCTGTTAGAAGATTAGAGGCAAAACATTCTATCGGCGGTCGCCTGTGTACCTAAATAGTGTTAACTACAGCATGATCAATATCACTTGTTTTTTTTACAATATGAAAAAAGAAAACTGATCAAATTCGATGTGAGACCTACTACAATAAATTCTTAAATATTGTGATCACTTTTCTGTTTATCAAAGGTTTAAATTCTGTTCGAAATGTTTTTAATGTTAATGTATAAATGGAGAATGTTAATGAACAGTGGACATATGGCTGCATTTTATGTATTACACAGCGCTTCTTTTATTTTCTCTTCCATTATCTACAAACTCATCATTATTAGAATCTCCGTTTCTTGTTAATACCATGGTGTGTAGAACCTTGAGATATTTCATTGTTGATTACAAGCCTTGTTCAAAATAAAAATGGTAATTAGAAGACGAGGATAATATGAAAAGGAAGATGTGATGTCATCAGAAATAATTGCAACAGATAAAGAAGATAATGTCTTTGTCATTTTAATGAAACCAACATCTGAAGGCTGAGCTAAAAGACTCGTTTGTATCGTTAGCAGAAACAACTTAAATATAGTTGAATTTGTTTTCATATTCCACTTTTAACAAAATGATGTTAAACGAAACCACAGTATTCTCAATCACACTTGTTCGGGAATATTTTACAAAATGGCTGTTGATACCAATGTTTTTTATTGGTAACATAACGAACTTTTTAAATTGTTTTATATTTTTACAACAGTCGTTACGTAGACAAGTTTGTTCTTTTTATTTTGTTTGTATATCAATCACAAATTTATTTGTTATTGACTTTCTATTATTAACAAGAGTGATGATGAGCGGTTATAATTATGATCCAACAACATGGTCAGATTTATTTTGTAAATTACGTACATATTTATGGTTTGTATTTAATCAATGGCCTCGTTCATTTCTTATACTAACATGTATAGATCGATTTCTAATTAGTTCATCGAATACAAATTATCGACAAATGAGTCAAAAAAAATATTTAAAATATATAATACCAATAAATATTTGTCTATGGATGGCTCTACCGTTTCATGTACTATTTAATACTACAATTATGAATGGTAGTTGTGTATATCTGCCTGGAATCTATTATGTATTTAATACGGTCTATAATTTATTGACATCTGCTGTATTTCCGGTTCTTACTCTGTCTATATTTAGTTTATTAATTATAAACAACGTTCGCCGACAAAGTCATCGAATACAAATATTAATAGTTCAACGACAATGTCAGAAACAACGACGCGAAGATCAAATGACATTAATGTTATTATCTCATGTTTTAATATTTATTCTAATGAATCTATTAAATCCAATATTTCAATTATATCTATTAATAACAGCCAATCGTGAAAAACGTTTGGAAGAGCTGAAGCTTTAAATAATTTTATAAATGTTTTTTCAATTGAATTACCTTATGTCCATAATTCATTAACATTCTTCATTTATACATTAACATCAAAAACATTTCGAACAGAATTTAAACGTTTGATAAACAGAAAAGTGATCACAATATTTAAGAATTCATTGTAGTGGGTCTCACATCGAATTTGATCAATTTCCTTTTTTCATATTGTAAAAAAAAACAAGTGATATTGATCGTGCTGTAGTTAACACTATTTAGGTACACAGGCGACCCCCGATAGAATGTTTTGCCTCTAATCTTCTAACAGAGCACATTCTCCAAGGTATCCAACATCATGTTTTAGATGTTAATCTATAAATGAAGAATGTTAATGAACAGTGGACATAAGCTTATTATTCGAGACTTATTGGTTTAAGGAGTTTCATGGATAGCGGAAAAAGCTAGACTTAATGGTCTTTTATTGCAAAAAAAAGTATTCTTTCGTTAAGTGAAGATGTCTCAATTGTAAAATTATGCATGAATTAAATAGACTTTTCATTTATTTTAATGTTTCCATTGTTTCGTTTGTCACAGCACTCATTTGTATATTGCCTTACAAAAGCGAATTACTCATCTCCAATCTCACTTAACAAACTATCCATATCGCAACACTAGTAATGAGTGGTTCATAAACAAGAAGGCCTATGACGTTGTCTGATAAACGTGAAAAAGTATAATAACACATATATAAAGAATCACAGTATTTGTGATTCGTCTACATGCTGTTCTGATAATTTCGACTTTTTTTTACTAATGATATTAGTTTCATTAAAAAGACAAAGACATTATCGTCTTTATCTGTTGCAATTATTTCTGATGACATCACATCTTCCTTTTCATATTACCATTCGTCGTCTAATTATATTTCAGCTTGTTTGTCATTACAAACTAAATCGGTAGTCATATAATTCTACAGAATACTATATAATTCTAGGTGACTATCGATGTATAGAATTCTCTACATTTCAGCCTGTGTTTCACGTGGAGAAAATAGACTAAATCGTTAGTGTTTAGAATCCGGTTTAAAATCCTATACAGTGTCGGAAATGTTGGAAATGCCAGTGATAGTTAAAGTGGAATTTATCTCATTCTGCACTGCAGTGTGTTTAAGAGTCTCTTATTCATATTCGTTGAAATCACAAAGTAATATTCAGCAACTTCGAAGATGTCAGTATCAAATATATTTAATTGTTAATGCAGCAGTGGAAGACACAAAAAATTAAACTGTTTGAGTATTACTAGTGGCTCTCGTGTTCCCAGTTATTTTATGTTAAAGTATGTGTATGTTTAACCGATTTGTCGTCGGGTGCGTTCGCACAAATGCACAATATGTTAGACACTTGCTCCCGAAAAGCACCAGATACCCTCTTAGGGATCATAATTTATCACGTCTGTACGATTATAGAGAAAGAAGTGTCTTCCTCAGCCATCTTTTCATCTTAAATCAATCAATGAAAGGTCTGTCGTTGTTTTGAAACATTCGGATTTTAATATACATAAAAAACCTGAAAAATTATTTAATTTTCTTTAACATTGTTTAATTTTGACTCTACTACAGAATATAACTGAAGACACCAAACACTTTTCCTCGAATACCCGTTTTCCGATCAGAAGTACTAGTCTCAAACCTGGAGATTGAGGGCATAAAATTCAAACTCCCAGCATTCTACTGTTACGGACAAATTTAGACAAAATAAAGTAATACCATGAACTTTTCTTATTTCATTGCTCCTGCCACAACGTTTCTAATCATTACATCGCAAAAGTCTCACTTTTGCACTTATCTTTCACTATTTTAACACTTTCGGTCGTGCTTCTCTCACAGTGTTTCATATTTTACTCTCATTTTGCTGCTGTTATTGCCATATACATTTCCTTTATTTTTCTTTTCTTATTTGTTCTCTTTTATAACAAGAATTAGTAGAATGCATACAGTCAGTTTCATCCCATCACACACGCTGAATGAAGTCATTTATTTAAAGCAAATGAGTTGTGCAATTTTCAATATATGTTGAAACCAGGTATTTCAGGAAAACTCTCGAATATCAGCTTTTACATCAATACTTCGTTTTACGAAAGTCTTCACGCGCTAGTAAAATTCTTCCTTGTGGTGCGTATATATCGGCACGTGTGCGGCAGTTATTTTTGCACACGCTCTGGACTATAGATAACACTCGTCCCCGACTACTTATGCTCCAAATGTGGTCTCTCGATCTACTTTCTAGACGAAGATATAAGCAAAAGGAATTTCACTTTTACATAGTTCGGCCTGTCCACGTAAGACTTTTTGGCAGCATCGAAGGTTGTTTTTGAATAAAATAAAGGCACTACTATGTAGAGCGTCTTCGATTATATATGAAAATCTGTTTTTTAATTCCTTAGATGCCATATTTCTACGGAAATTTCGGCTTTTAAAAAGATGTCACTCAAAAACAGAAACGTGACGCCGATAACGACTATTTTCTTTGCCAAAAACAAATCTGTTTTTTAATTCGAACATATCATCTAAAAGCGCGTCGAATAGGCTCAGTAGCTATGAAGAAATACGAAGTTTACATTCCTACCTGACTAACTTATTTCCTTTCGTAACGGACATACTCGCGTAAGCGTGATTCCGTGACGAAATACCGGTATAGTAACCAAAACCTTTCTTAATGAGGCATGATTGTAGCCTGCAAATTTCTAATTAAAATGAGATATCTCTCAGCTCTTCCCAATCTTTCTTTACAAAGTTATAGAATTTACACGAAAAGCCCTAAATGTTCATTGTCAGCTCAAAGCTACAGAAAAAAGCAGAAATTAATTTAGGGCTTTTCGGGTAAATTCTATAATTTGTAAAGAAAAGTCGCGAAGAGCTGAGAGATATCTCATTTTAATTAGAAATTTGCAGGCTACAATCATGCCTCATTAAATAAGGTTTTGGTTATCTTTCAGAGTTTCTGAAAAACTGGTTTTCGAGGAAACCGCGCCCTAAACAGCCATGGACCCGTGCGTACTTGATGACAAGTACGCACCTTTGGAATTCGAGAAATATATCACTAGTTCCAGTTTTTGACGCTCTTTCGAATGTACTAATCAATTTTGTCTTAAATCTTTAGGGTAGGTCTACAGAAGCGTCACAGCAAATGATGAGGTTTTTTTTTACTGAAATGTGAATCACCATTTCCTCGCATTCTTTTGTGATGACACAGCCGTTGATATGCGCAGAAGTGGTTTTTAAAGCCTAGTACAACCTCAAAGTCATATTTTTGTATGCATTTTTGCTCTTTTTTAGATTATCTAAGATATCAGTGTCCTTGGAAACCATTCTGATTTGTTGTGCTCTAACTCCATTCGATCTGATTTCAATGCTCTTGTCTTGCAAATACACGTGACTGTACAGTTGGCATGCAATATATTTTTCTGTCAGTGGCTCGTAGCAAGGTGGCTTTTTTAATGTCATTTGAATTTTTTCCCCTAAGCATCTGTGTGCTGATCCTGAATTCTGATGTAGATAAATTTAGTACTCGGATAATGCTCTCATCCACTAGGTTTTAGATATCATAGTACATATTATTTGTCCAAATGGCTTTATCAGGAGCTGAACGTACGAAGAGATATCGAGACCGGTTAAAACTGATTCGATTTTGATCTTTAAGCTGACTGTATGGACAAAAGATGTGTTTTTAGTGAAGTGTGTTTAAAAGTGCTATTTGTCATCATCTTTTATCAGAAAGAACACTTTCTGTATTTATAGTCACCTTTTATAATAGTAGAAAGAAAGGAAAGGAAAGAAAAAATTCATCATTTTCAAAACGTGATTCCGTGACGACGATTTTCTCTATCCATACAGTTGGGTTTCAGTCTTTTTGAATCTTCTTTTTCTTTAGTCAATAGCCCGTTACCCGAGCTACAACTTTCCTATGCAAAGGTATTTTCTCGGCCCTTAGTTGCGCTGAATTTTGCATTTCTCTGCTTACTGCTCTCAGGCACATTCCATTTTGACTGATCCCGTGACGCACCTATATTTGAGTTACAGAATTTGAACGCAACGTGCAAAATAAATGAAAATTTCAGGAGACGTATAACGCTATGTTAGATATATGCAGTAAAAATTTCGGCCTTGGTTGACTTATTTTGCCAAAGATATAAAAGAGGCAAAGTGAAAAAACGTGATTCCGTGACGCTTGGACTGACCGAGTTCTCGTTTCAGTCTGTTTGTAGGGCTTTTACGAAAAATTTCATAACTTCTGAAGGAAGTAAGTTCCGATCAAAAACTTTTGGGAATCTTCCTGAGTGTGTCGCTGCTAAGACGCGCGTAATTCAAAAATCAAGTTCTATTTTATTTTTAGCTTCTTTATACATGATTCGATAGAGAATTTGAAGCTGATCACCAATATCGCCTTTTTAGCCTTCCCAGTGCACGTTTGCGCGTCGAAAAATTGAAAATACGGGAAGGGTTTTAA